ACAGGATGTCAAGAGATGTTGAACACAATGGTTTTCTAATAAATCCTATTCACAATACTCTCTTCTTGAATGACTTTTACTTGGGGGGGGGGGGGGTCCTCTGGTGTCAGTCTGTCTTCAAAATGAGTGTGACTATTTATGGATGTGTCACTGTAAATCTTCTATAAATACACATTCTCACAACTGACACACTTTTCAGCAAGCCAGGAAGTTTTTCTTCAGGGACAAACATAATTTCATCATGTTTAGCAATAACCAACCAAATAGTTCTAAATGAATATGGCCTATACTGAGATTTAATTTTTTATGGCACTAATGTAATTTATTTCCACCTGAGCAGTTCCATTATTTTGTGTTGCTTGAGACATTCCTCCTCTCATTCCTCTTTATTACTACCATGTAGCAGGCATCATTTTGCTATTTGTCTAAATACTGGTAATGCACTGTGCTTTTAAGCGGTTATTGGTGAGAAGATGTGTGATAGATGGTGCGAGCCTGCACACAGCAGAATGACTCAGCTGTCTCTGCATCCCCGCTGGTGCAGCATTACTCGGATTACTGTTCTGTCCTGTCATCACATAAGGATGGAAGACATTCCTTTGTAGGACAATACTGTAACCAGATGTAGAAATATACACACAGCCAGCCAGGAGTCCAGTGCTCTGGCCTTCAGCAAGTTGATGTGGAATTTAATTTCATAGGAAGATTAAACAGATTACTACACAGTAGTAGGCCTTACCAAGAGGTGGAATTGAACCAAGGAACCGCTGGGAGTTTTAACTTTCAAACTGATGTGGGAGGTTTTCTAAAGGTTTGGCAACAAAAGAAAGAAATGTTCAGTAGCTGGAGATGACCTGACACAGGAATGGAGATGGGAGATTAAGTATGCATGAGCTTTTCACAAGTTCAAAGTGTATGCTCACGCTTTCAATAACTTTCTGACCCACAAAAATCAAAGCTTAAAAATTCTGAGACTGAATATTAAGCCACTCTGTAAGACTTTTCATCCTCTCGGTTCTTTGAGCATCAGGCACGTGTACACCCAGCTGCCTGGTTGGCGTCTTGTTAAAGCATCTGCAACATTTCCTTCAGCCTTTCACTGGGTGCTGACTCCAGCAGCTGGGTGGCAACATCATACAAAAATACCAACGGGCTGCACGGATTGGCTGGGAGAACAAATGAGGTTTAAACCTGAGTCATGAATCAGCATGTGGGGGAAACCTTCACCCACTGTAGAAAGTATTATGTGGAGCAGATTTGTATATGCCTGAAAAAGAAAAAACATCGTGGCACAGTGTATTGACAGAGACCAGGTCCATAATGACAGAAACAAATAATTTTATTTTAAAAATATTTCACTGCTGATACATACAATACACTCATCATACTCATATATATATTTGCATAAAGTATACTCTTAACATGATAATATTTAAAGATTTGATACATTATTGTCAGATGGGGAGGGGTATATCAACAGGGGGAACACTTTTGTAGTGTAGCGTAAAAACACTGAAACAGAAAACCACTAGAACAGATACAGAGGGAACCTTGCCAGCTGCTGCCTGATTGGAGGAAGACTGGAGAGGGGGCGGGGCCTGAGTCTGGCAGGTATTTTAATGTCAACAGTCCCGTTTCAATCCACCCGTGTACACTTCCCGTGCAATTTACACAGAGGTGAGACGGGAACTGCTGCAGCTCTTTGGCTTGCAACATTTTGCATCCCTGATTGGATAGGGCTGCCAAATGTTCAGCCACAACTGGTAGATTCAAGCCAGAGATTGAAAACGTTCTGCCCGCATCCAAAGAAAATGTGTTTGCCCAGTTTGTGCCTCATGTATGAACTTCACATTCAAGTCACACAGCCAAGCATCTATATTTCTGAAACATAAAACCCTGGCGACCTCTGGAAAACTTAGAAAGCAGCATATACTGCTGCTGAGATGTTTCCAGACTCCTCTAACTATAGGTATATAAATATCTATGCCTCTAACCATCTGGATAAAATAAATATCCTGGTTCCCAACCTGGACAGCATGCAGCCGCCTGGCCTTCCTTCCTTTTTTCCTGAAAAATTACCCATAAAGCATTTTCCCCATAGGTCACAATAATAAAAGAGACTCTTTCCTGAACTTTTTCCTAATTCAAGCTGGAAATTATGTCATTGCTCAATTTGTATGACGTAAACCAAAATGATAAGGTTTTATTATCAGTTACATTTGTCTATTTTAACCCTGCTGAAAACTTGAGCATGAAACAGTCAAAACTACAATCAAAATTTAAATTAGGAAAAAACATTTTCCTATGAGATCAGCAATTAAAACTAATCTGCATCAAACGGCACCCACACCCCTGAGGGTGCAGTTTGATCACTTGATTGATAGTGACCAAATAAACGCTGCTAAATCCTGATTGGTGCATGGGAGTATTTGACATGACCTTTTCCCAGTTGAGTACCACCCACTTCAAATAAGTAAGAAAAGCAATTTCTCATGTTATATACCCAAAACTGTAATAAGCTGATTAAGAAATTTACTATTTTCTTTTCATTGAAAACTGATTTTTTAAAGATGGATTAGGAAATTGTTGGAAATTATTTGTAATTTATTATTTACTCATCCAGATAGTTAGAAGAGTCTTTGAAGATTCTGGAAATACCTTCATAACACTGGGGAGTGTTTACACTGTAACTTGAACGTAAGGGTAATACAGGAGGCGGCACAAACTATGAAGTGCGTGTTTAATGTATGTAAAGTTCCTCTGTTAAACCTGCAGTGCGGAACTTTTGTTTCCCCCTTCTGACAGTCAGAATAATTATACAACACTGTCTACGAGCGCTAATGACATATACACTCTCTGCTGTTACTTAAAAATGTATTTACAATGCATATAGAATGCATTTTCAGTATATTTCTTATGTGTTTGCAAAATGCACTGCCTTTAGCAAGAGCGGTTTAGAAATGCAAAGTAAATCTTTGTCCTTTCTATTTTTATATACTTGAGGCTAATTTATATATATATATATATATATATATATATATATATATATATATATATATATATATATATATATTTACTATATTTGAAATGTTATATATATATATATAAACATTTCAAATAGGTTTAGTAAAATGTCTTTCAGGCAGGATCTTTGCTGGAGTACTTTTCTCAGACTTGCATTATTTACGAATGCAGTGTTGAAATGTACTATGGCCAAGTTCATTTTCTTTCCATACAGGCAGGACCCCTCTCAACATGTCCACCTCTAATCCAACTCTGACAACAAAAAGTCTGAGAGCAAGCAGAGAGCTGGCGAGGTGAAGAGGTCGTGTTGAGGATATTCATTATCATGGAGGAGAAAAAGGGACACTGAAATGAAGAATTCCATTCAGACGCTCCTGGCTGTCCCTCCTTGACCTGGTAGCTGTCACAGGACATGATTAGAGAATGTCGATCAGCTCTATCCCCGTTACAAAGTCCTAGTCTGCTGGATTACTGTCGTCTCAATCTCTACGACATTTATCTGTTTCTATACTCGCCCCGTTTACATTATAGCCCTCTCTGCTAACAAGGTAGTTTGCATTGACAGTGACGTGTAGCACAGTACATCTGTGTATTATTAAGTGCTAAACAGACCGGTGTTCAGACGACATATGCTGCCCTATCGAAAGATGCTACCTCATGTTCCCATTTCCAATCCCATAAAGTCATTACTCTCACAGTATTATGACAGTTTTTTTTAATTATAACATAATTTCAGGGGTAGCGTATTCTAATATACCCCCTATCAAATAATGCTCCCACTACAGAATCCTTTTATATACTGCCCCACTACTCACTCCATGTGTGCTGTAAGGAGATGGGGGGGGGGGGGGATACTATATTATGCCGTCTTAGACCACCTCTTGTGGGCTCATACACATGCGCAAGTAGCACATCTCGATAGGTAGCATTAACGGCCCTGGGCAGCATAAATCGACAGAACACCGGATTAAACAACTATACGTTCTCAGGACCTGTGCTGAACCAGAACACTGATCCAGAGTCAGCCCTCCTGTTGAGGGAGTAGCGTTAAGTGACTGACAGTCTGACTGCATCTTATTAAGTGCTTCATATGGGTGTCGAGGGAAGATGAGCAGGTGGAGACCCTGTGACCCAGACCACCATTTTTTTTTTTTACCTTAGCTGATGCTAACTAGCCTGCCAGCATGTGTTCACCTGTAGAAAGCCGCGTGTGAGGAGCAGACCTCAGTAAAATGGCAGTGAAGAACGTTTCCTCGTGGAGGAGCACTTGAATTGTCTTGGTTCGCAGTATAATTGCTCTCTTTTGAGACTGGAAAATGTCTGCAGAGACATCGAGCGCGCCGTAACAGCCACGATCGCACACCTGCACACTGAGCTGCTGCTCCCGCGAGATTCAATTAACCGCCTTTCCCCCCCAATAACAGTCCGCCTCTAAAGCCGTCAGCGCTTCATTATTTTTTTTTTGCTCCTGCTGAGTGATCGCCATCAACAGGGTTTTGCTGCTAAAATGTGTAGAACACACACACACACACACACACACACTGTAGAACAAAGCAGTAGAGGTCTTCACGGGTCCAGACAGTTTCCTATAACTGAACCGGGTCCAAATGATAATCATTGTGCTGTGAAGGGGTCCATTGTATAGCCTATGTGGATCTGAGCAGACACCACTGATCACATGGTGCATCAAATTATCAAGTACATCCAAAGGATAAAACGGCCTGGACACCCTGGACTTGTCTATCACAGGGCAGACACTGTGTACAGTATGTACTATGTTAGTCTGATTTCTTATATACTAAAAAACTAAAAAACTAAAGTAGTATACTACAGAAATAATAAATTAAAGTAGTAAGCCATTTTATACTAGCAGGAAATTATACAATAATTAAGCTGTTGGATGTCAAACTACAAGTGTTCTTTTTTGCTTTTTGAAGTGTTCCTGGAGCTGTTTCACCATCTACAATTAATTTAGATTTCTTTCTAGTTGTCAACTGTTCTTCCATTTCCTTTGTGCATTGCACTGTTGGAGAACAGTGTACATCAACAGCACACTGGGGGAAAAAAACGCCGGAGGGGATGATCCAAAATAAATTGGAGACAAATCAGTAAACTTTTTCGTGCCATTCATGCGTGCAGGAAGTGAGTTGGATCAGTGCTCTCCGTGGGTTGATGTTCTCTCTATTTGAGTATCAGGTCGCAGCGGGTCGGAGTGTCTTCATGTCCCTTTCAGCTCAGGTCTATGTGTTTTTTTTAAATTAATTTACGCACATCAGGTTAGGTCATCATTCTGGACGCGTGAAGACCTCTACCTAGCAGGTCATATGCATCACCGGCTGCAACAGCAAGAGCTTTATGAGTATTCTTTTTGGACAGCTTTAATTGATCGCAGCTTACTTCTTACAGATGTACTGCAGTAGTTTTACGCAGATCCGTTGTGTTTAAAATTAATGGAAAAATACAGAATCTGCTCTACACTTCTGGGAAAATATCATTTGGTGAGGAAAACATTCAAGTTAGTTAAGGAAACAGCAGCTAGGTGGCTTTTGTCATTACCTAAATGAACTGAAATACACCTGTGGAATTTTGCGGCTTGGGAATAAAGAACCTCTAAGAATCTTCCAAGCAAATCTTCGGAGGATAACTGTTGTGTGTGTCGCGTCCCATGTTAGAGGTCAGCTGGCTAAAACAGCCACATCCTACGATGAGACTTGAACGTACAGTTAAGAGATGCTGAGAAGGCTGCAGCAGGAGCCGGAAATCAAGTGCTCTCCGCCCAACACCATCCCACATCAAACTTCAACCACTGTCTGTGAACGCCTCAGGAGTTCTTTGTTGGTTCGGGGTCGGCCGTTGATGTGGCAATGACCGGGCCCAGAGCCACCGTTAGACAGAGTTCAGTCCGTCAGCAGACACTTTAGCACCGCAATCCTGTAACTTAAGATCCCATTCGCTGCACTACTGTTGGAGTAATGGTCTCTCACCGTGGCAATGTTAGGGAACGCCTCGTCTGCAGGCAACTAACACTGCAAAAAGAATCATCTTAACACATCACTGGGAGCAGGGTTTTTATATAAAAATCCTTCTGTCTGCTCCAGTGAAATTGAGGGTCACTTGTCCACCTACAGGGAATGATGAATCAAAAAGTAGGAGTGTAATCCGAACAGCAGTGAGAGCCTCGTCTCCCCTTGTGTGTGGTACTTTAAGGAAAAATCTTCAGTATTTGCAGCCTTCTCGATTAAAAAAAATCATTTGTTAAGATTGACATGTTTTTTCAGTGTAGTTGTGTACAGAGGGCAGGAAACATGGCAGCCAGAATTCCCCTTGACTGAACTCTCTCCATCAGTGGCTCTTGAGGGAGTCTACACTCCCTCCCTCCGCTTCCTCCCTTCAAACTTCCTCACAAAGGCCAAGGCAGGTCGCTGAAGTCGACGGGGCCGCCCAGGCCAGCGTCCGCCTCCAGCAGGGACATGATGACCGCCATGGCCGCCTCGTCGTTGCTGGGGCTGCTGGAACCGGGATCGTCCATGATGTCTATGCTCAGGTGGGAGTTGTCACCTGAATGAAGGACGAGTCGTTGAGAAAACGATGTTTGGGATGGAGAAGCCACCCAAACAAACATAAATATTCTGTGTTTGTGTCTGACTCACTCATGATGGACTGGTTGGAGTAGGGATAGCCCACAGAATCAGGTCCAGGAATGATCCCTGTGCTCGGCAGTTCGGGTGTGCCTCCGTTCTGAATCTAGGGACGTGACACATATATCAGTTTACTTTGAACACAGATCAGTGTCAGCCTGAGCCGAGCTTCACAAAGAACGGACCCTGAGGCACATGAGAAGGACATGTCAGTGTTACACGTAGATGCATCAGATTCTCTCAACACCAGCCAACACTAGCCTTCACAACCTTGTTGGGTTGTTGTTGTTGTTCTGGTAAAAACAAACCTGTCGTCTTTACACTACGGCTTTTTCAAAGATTAAAAGGACATTAAAAGACATATTATTGTGTTGATTAGTGAGCTTATACAATTAGTTACCTTTACACAGAGCCGGGCTTGCTGTTTAAGCTATTTAACATAGCAGTTTTGAGTTGGGAGCTCCAGTATTTGAAGCAAGATGTTCATGAATAACAAGGTGCGCAAAGTAATAAGGCTACACCTGTTATTCCAGTGTGTCAGCTACATTTTTAATCAGCCTTTCATATCTTCTGCTGCTAATCTCATTTTCAGTGAACACTAATTAGGCTGCTGCTCAAAACTGCAGTGTTTCTGCCTTTCTCAGCAGACAAAAGTGGATACTGAAGTCACATTCGATAAATTGCTATTGAACCCCAACCTTATGAAGGAAAACAGTGTGTGTGTGTGTGTGTTACCTTCTTGCCCCCTGGAGAGCAGGTGTCAGGTGGAGGGGTGCTGGTGATGTTCAGAGGGCTGGAGCCACAGCTGGAGGGGGAGGACCCTCGGATCCTGATAGACACACACAGATGGTTGCGGTGATTCCCAAATACATTTTGCATTTCCCCAACCGGGTCGTGGTTTTGCATTCCGACTTGGATAAGAGGTTCGAACATCCAGATCCTTAGACATGTGACCTACATGCAACTTATTTTTAACACTTGTGCAGGAATTTGTCAGTGTTGCCATGACAATGAGCAGATATTACATCTACCAGTGGAGAGAACTGGTTTACTTTTGGCACCACAGCAGCTGTCTGAGTAATCCTTAGCCTGGAGGATTCAGAGCTGAGCCGGAGCGCCTGCAGTGTGAACACCCTGTCCTATTTTACACTGAACTATTTATTTGTTTTGTCATGATTAGAAGTGATTTGATACAGAAAATGTCAAATATTCCCATAAAAGGCTACGTCCTGCACAATTTATGTCATGCAAGCCTTCTATTTCTGATATCTATCTATCTATCTCCTAAATTTTACCGTAGCGTCTCTCTGTCACCTCTTACACCATCATTCACATTAAACACTAGGCCATGGGGACTGTCCAGTTGAGGGTGAACAGACTTCTTCCTACCTTCCTTCCTTCACCAGTTCTGGGATTTAAAAAAAATAAAACAAGTCAATTTCATCTGCTCTCACCTCTGAATCTCCATCACTTCCTCTGCAATCATGCGTCCAATCTTGCCGGCTCCCGCTCTTGTGCCACCGGGGATGCCGGGGACCGTCTGCAGCGGCCTCCTTCCTCCGCCCACTAAATCAGGAAAAGGAGATTTTATTTATAGTGAAGAATAAATGCTGTTTTTGGATCGATCACACGTAAGGGTCTGGTGTGCATCGGTTTAAAGTAGTGTTTTACCCTCTGAGGTGAGAACACTGTCCATACTCTGCGGTGAGGCAGCAGACTGAGGGTAGTCTGATCCTTCCATCATGGGACACCTGGAGAGATCAACACACGTGGGAATGTTCTGATATTTCACAGTGGAGCGTCATCAGTTATAGAAGTTGTGAGCGCCCATGGCTACTTACGAGACAACAGTGTTGGTGGAGACGATGTACTCCACATCCTTGGTCCAGGGGTTCATGAAGCTGAACCATCGGCTCCTCAGCGTGATGAAGGAGCCGTCTTTGATCTTGAATTTGTAACAGTTGGTGTTGATCTTCTCTCTCATCTGCAGCACTGTGGACAGACCCATCAACACGGTGAGTAAAAACACAGACATATTGAAAACTTGCAGCGGCAGCCACTAGCCAGCAGGTACCTTGTCTGTGGCACTCTGCCAGGTGGCCGATGTCGTCTTGGTGGAAATACTCGTAGAAGGACGTTCCCAGCAGCTCCTGGGGCAGGTAGGCTAGGATGGCTGTGGCCCTGGAGGGACAGAAAGACAGAAGAAAGGCTGTGTTTACTTACAGCTGCTCGTGTGGGGCTCCTCAAAACAGTGGAAGAAAGCGAACATATTGATCTGCAGCAATTTATTTTTTACGGTCAGCATACATTAAAGCTCAGCTACATCCTCCAATTTTAGGACATGGTGTTGCCTTTAGGTCATTTAGAACAGACAGCGACTTCAAACCCCCAGTATACGCCACAGCACATAAACCCGTTTTTTCGGCCCACAACAAATCCTGACTACTTATTTTCAATAACACTGTGGTAAATTTATCAAAGCCAACTATAATTGCAACGGTAGAAGCGCTCCAGTGGCAGTGGGTGGAAAGATAAAATATCTAGCTAATTAGAACTGCCCTTTAAATGCAGAATTCCTAACACAAACAAGTAGTACATCTGTAGGGGACTAATCTAATCAGTTCTGATTAACAGATGATTAGCAGCATTTCATTTTCTGCATTAATGAATTGCCAGATGGTACATTTGTCATTTGAATGTCATCCAATAACACTGAACTGTCAGAGGTCTGCGTGAAAGCTTGTTGTTCCACTCTGGAAATTAAGTCAATGAGACATGAAAGGGTGGAGGGGGAATAAATAAAGTAATGATGTACACCGACAGTGGGTTTTTGTTTTTCCTTCTGCAGCATCAGGAGAAATGGACAGCTGATGCAGGGGAGAGTCAGAGTAAACCTGTTATGGAGTTTGTGGAGTCTTTGACAGGAGTAAAGCCCATGTCACCAACAAGGAGGAATAGTACTTGTCAAAGTCGAGGTACTAAACCAGTTCAGCACCAACAGCTCCTTATTTTAGCCTCTGTGTCCTTCAGTCCTAATGACACCTTTCTTATGTACAATAAATACAGCCGGATCCACTTGTGGTCACTTGTGGACCTGGTTGAACTATGATCTGGATGAGAATCTTCACAGAAACCTTAGTCTCACTTTGATAAACCCTGCTGAATGCTCCCCCGTGCATTTGTTGTTGTTTTTTTTGCATCTCACCTCTGGTCAACGAAGACGAATTTGCCGTCGATGGCGTGCCGGGAGACGTACTCTGTGGGCTTTACCCTGATGTCTGCCAGGCTGGGTTGGGGGACTATGTGGGGGTGCAGGCGGCCAATGGCCACCAGGCAGCTCAGGTTACAGCCCTCGTTGTCGGGCTCGTTGTCCTCGTCGAGACCCATCTTGGTGGGCGGCCAGCTCTTCAAGTAGCCCGTGCTGTGGATGGTGCAGAAGCTCTTGCGGTCCGCTGCAGAGAGGAGGAGTGGGGAGAGAGTCATTGTTAGAGGGTATAATTGGAAATGGACTGGGACCATTTTAGCGGGATGCCACCCCCATGCTGGGGGGATGATGATAGATTCTTACGGTTCAGTAAACTGAATCTGACAGGGGTTTCTTCATGACTATAAAACCAGCTCTGATTGGTTGACCACATCTAAAACTTTTGTAAAACAAGACCCAGAAAGCCACATATAAAAAAAATTGATGCTGTTTAAATCTACTGAGACATTTCCCCATTTAAAATCATTGAAAACAGATGAGATGAAAACACAAAATGCATGAACATGAAAGACAGCAAATACAGGCCCAGTCACTTCTGTTTAGTGCATTCTGACATTATAGGAACCCATCCTTAATCCATAAACACGTGACGGCTCAATTGTTCATTCCACTAAATAAGATATTCATGATTCATGTGTCACTTCACAACCACTGTACTGTGGAGAGTAACAATCTTCCCTGGTGGAAAAGGCTGCCTTCACAAAGGAAATAACCTTCACCATGTGCTGAGGTAAACAGGAAGTCAATAGGAAAATGCTCAGATTAGGCTCAACTCCAATGTACCAATAAATTACTGTCTTTACAGTCAGTAATTAAAGGGACCGTTTTAGGGCCGATAGTTTAATCTCCTTCATTTTCTTTAAAAAAGGCATGACTTGCTACATTTACGCCTAGCATGTGCAACACTTTTGGAAATGCTGCTGACCGTGTTTTAGCATTTGGTTTAAATGTGGATGGGCGGAAACTGACACATTTGAAAACAATGATAAAGACACCCACGTTGGCTTCCCCTTTGGTTCCCATCAGTCACTATGTGTGTTCTTCCCAGATTTGTCACGCCCCTATCACGTGACCCCTGCATCAGCCTCAACACGTCCGCCTTTTGTTCAAGTGTTACTTTCAGTAACAGGCCCACCTCGTCGTCAGTCCGAGCAAAGAAACCTCTGGTCTTACTTTTTTCGCCATTAGAGCAGACAATCTGCTTCCTGTTCACACTGGCACGTACATGCCCAGTGCAGGTGAATGGTCATGTGATAAACGTTTTCAGGCATGTTAATATGGACGGAGATTATTTCTTAAACAGTGCTCAAAGAATGTGTGTGTAAAGAGATAGTTTTGGTTTTAAAACATGGTTTTAAAATAAAACGTATTAGTGTGGACGTAGCCTTAGAGAACTTCATGGGCTTCATTGCATCAGCTGCGAGTTGGTATAATTTTTCTTCAGGAATAGAGAAAAACTTGTCTAAGATGCAGGAATCTGGGCACCCGGCGCTGGAGGATTTCTCTTTGACAGCCATATTGGTGGTTCTGCAGGACTGAAGTATAGCAGCTAATCAAGCTGGGGCTGTGGTCTTTCCTAAATAGCTTTCTCTTTAAATAACACTTTTCATAACTGGACGCACTTTCATTTTTTATACCGCATGAAATGAAGTAAATTTTTCCCCACTTTGAAACATGAAGCCTGACATCAGAGGGAGAATGTCTGTATGAAATATTTAGCTAAACACTAAAAAATTCAACATGAGCGGTGACACAGCTGATCTGGGTTGCGTGACTGTGCTTGAATGGCCTGCAAATGTTCTTCTGACTATAAAGACACTGATGGGGGGGAACTGGAGTGTAAACAAAGCAGGACGACATGCAGCCATATGTTTCATCTGCTCTCAGGCCACTGCAGTACGGATGACGCAATCCGCTGGACTGAAAGAGGAAGTGCTCCCGAACAGTCATAGCAGACCATGAGTTCACGATCTGAATAATTCAGGATGGAGCCGAACGCATAATGGCTCAACTGACACTTCAGTCGTGTACAGAGTAACTACAAGAGACGTCTGATTGCTGTTTAAATAACCGAAGTAGTTCAAACACTATGAAGCTGTACTACTGCAACAGAGGAAATTTACTGTTGACTGTGTTTAATTCAGAATTCCCTGTATGTTACCATTTGCCAGGACAGTCCATCAATGCATTGAGACGGCGTGAAGGCTTTCTTTCAATGCACCCAGAATCTTTAACTTTCAATCTTCCGACATGTTGTGTCCCCATCCCAAAATCAGTGTTTCTGCTACATTCATCACTGCTGAAAATCATCGTGTGCAGAGCTGACTCTGGGTGCTTACTCGGGGTGTGATGAGATCTCGTGCTGATATTTCTCATTGTCTCATAATATAGCATGGTGGAGTGTGAGGGTGAAATTAGCATAGAAGATGCCTACGCCACTTTTAAATCATTTGTTTTGCAGCATTTTAGGTACCCGGTGTAAACAATTAACGGCGACAGAGTGACAGACAAGACACGAACTATATGTAAGCCAGTGTTTCCCCACATGCAGACCCTACTTGAGTGGGCCCCGAAGTATATTTGGCGACCCATTTCAGGATTTTGAAGAGAAACACAGAGCGAGTTGTTATCTGGTATTGCATCACAACAAGTGGACACGATGCATATTTTATGGATAAGTACGGACCAGGTAAAGCAACAGTGAACACAGCAGTGCAGATGTCATTCGGTGCCACGTTGGTTTTGATCGACACATACAGGGAGGGAGAAACAGAGTCAAGGTGAGGTGTTTGCTGTTAAGAGACCAGAGGTGTAGGTGTGTGAGAACTGAAGGGAAAAGCAATGTTAGCAGATTTAAGTAGGGAGTAAACACTAAAATAAGGTGGAGAATGAAGTAGAATTAAAATGGTTAAATAAGAAATAACCTACTAGAAATAGAAATACCACTGATCATTCATTTTATTTGACATCACAGGATAGGATGTAAGCCGTTACCTTTTAAAATGCCTGCTTTGACGTCACAGTTTGGCTCCAGTCAGAAGAGCGAAGTCAAAACATTCAATGGCTTAACAGCCATAAATAGCGTGACTGGCGGTACTGTGTGAAATATTTTGTTTTTGACAGGCCAGCTTACTCAAATAAACGGTGAGTAAATAAATGTATAAATACATGCACTAGAGAGGTCAACTTCCTTGGTTGTGTAATGGTGATGCTTTCATGCTAACTGAGGTGTGAGTCCGGGTTCTAATAAGGATGTGCCTCTAAAAACAGAAAGAGGAACGCCAGGAAATAAGGACTAGAGGTAGAGAATAGCCCTTGATTGACACTCAAAGCTGAAATGGGGTGAAAGAACAAAACGAGATGCTTTGAGCAGCACAGAGCTGTTTCATGAGGGGCTGACGGGAGAGGCAGGGAAAGGGGGGGATTGTTGGTGCCATTTATTGGAAGATGTTTTAAGAGAACACTACTGTACCTTTTTTCTTAGAGCAGGTGGAGGGAAAGTCTTTATCCTCTACTTTGACAGAGGGCCTGTTGCACTTCATCCTGCAGAAAAACGACCGTCTGGCTCCAGAACAGAGTCTAGATGGGCCGGGGGTGATGTCTGTCTTCACTGGAAGACCAGCTGCACATGCACACATACAAACAGTTGACATAGCATCAATACTATATAACATTTGGTTACAATTTAAATAATTTCTCGTCAGAAGCCTTCAAAATAATATTTTTACTGTTGCAATGTTGGAAACTAAAACTGTCTAAAATTCTATTAATTCATCAGCCTAATAATCCATCCATCAGCCTGACACTGCAGCAGCCAAATTCAAGCGTTCTTTCTATGCCTCTATTTTAAGTCTTGAATGATGCCCATTTCACCAATTTTTCCATTAAGAAAATGTACCACTGTTGGTCCTCTATACAGAGGGCTACATATTGCACCATTCCCTTGACAAATTTAAAGCTCGTTTATCCCAGCGGAAAATCGTATCTTCATCATTATACATCTCTTGTACCAGAAGGTGAATCTTTGGCTACACTAGCAGAGGTATTTTTTGACACAAAATGTAAATTCAAATCACAACAACAGTTATCTCAAAACTGTGCTAACATTGCTTTAAGTCTTGTAAACAAAACAGCGCTATAGCATTTTAAAAAGACACCATTCAACCAACAGACAACACAAGCAGGTGCTGAAATTCACTCTAAGTATTTTTGCTGAAGTCATAAGGCAGCCTTGAGTTTGCTGTCAGCTACAGTTTCCCCGGTATCATAATGACACAACAGATTAAGATGAAGAAAACAACATCAGCCAGACTCCTGATTCTTTCACAGTGGATAAAGTTTATTTGGACTTGCTTACTTTTAGCGTCAATGAGCCGCTCTCGTGGGGCCGTATCGGAAGAGGACAGCTGCTCTTTGACCTTGGCAATGTCCTTGGGGTGAAGGTAGTCAAACAGGCTCTGACCTATAAGGTCGTTCTGGAGACAGCGAGTGACATGTGAGTGTGAGATAAAGAGAGAATAGAGGCAGAAAACCTAAAACTGCTATTACTACTTCTAATCCTCCTTTAATAATTTCATCTGGCAGCTTTTCTGGAAAACTGCAAAGTAACTTAAATCTTTAATTTAAAACTGAACAGCTGACACAGACAGAATTTCTAACTCAAGTAACAACGTTTTGAATTAAATTATTCATGTTGCTGAAATTCTGCTGACTTGTGAGAATCCTTCTCTTCTTTTCAGGAAATAAAAAGGTCACCACTGTGAGCTGCTTAATTTGCAGAGTGACTAACAAAAAAAACAGAAAACGTGTAAAATATGAAACACACTGTAAGTCCTTTGTGGACTGAGTGGCTTTAACTAGAACCTAAAATGCCTCAAATTCAGATAAACACCAGCCTTTTGTGTCCCTTTTTTCGCCAAAGCACAAATGCTGTCAGCATACCTGGCTGTAGTTGAGAATCTTGTAGACTGATTCAGAAACAAAGAGGATCTTTCCACGGTCACAACCAACCACAAACAGGAAACCATCAGCAGCCTGCATATCAAACACAGAAAACAAACACTGGAATAAATATGGGGCCTTCTTAAGAAATATGATGACTAAAATATGAATTATTTAGAAATTAGGATGTTCTATTAGGTAATAGAGAATGATTGAGCTCTATAATATATAGCTTGATGATTTCAGTACCAAAATTAGTAGACAAGACCTGGGGATTAAGGATAAAAATGAGTACTAAGTGTATGTACCCCTGACACTGTGTATTATTAAGTGTTGAACACCTAATAACACTCACCCTTAGTATCAAGTGCTTCAGTTCATCATCTGAGAGAAAGGAAGGCTTGTAGTTGGCCTCTGTGTACGGGTTGGCTGCACCTGCACACAGCAGTAAACACACTACTTACACCTGCAGGTATTCAGACTGCACCTGTACATGTAACAGCTCACACAGCTTGTAGTCCTCCTTGAGTGAAAGCAACTACATCTCTTTCCAAAGATCAAGCGATCACAACATATTATCTTCTCCAACTAACAAAAAAAAAAAAATTACAGGAGAACAGGGCTTTGTTATAATCGTTCTGTCAGTCAATTCTCAATCCATAGTGAAGATGACACATTTAAATGTTCTTGTTTTTGTTAATCCACTCCCTGATTCATCTCTAGCTCTGATCCAGTTTGTATTTACAGTAGCACATTACACAGCCTAACTATACCCTCATCCACTGAGCCACTCTCGTAGTTCATCCTAACCTCTGAGTGTCTTCATGTGCTGGACAGCCATGCGGAGGACCGTCAGCTTGTCTAGCTTGCGGGACATGGCGTTACAGGTGGGCACGAGTGACGCCAGCTCGTCGATGAAACTGTTCATCTTGTCCCTGCGACGCTTCTCGATCTGGCTGTGAGCCTCTCTGTGGAAGAAGAAGCACCAGACATTAACGGACCGTGATGTTGACGCTGATTATTCTCTCCCTTTTCCCATCTTGCTGGCATCAATCCTAATAAAAAGAAATATTGGCAAAAATCATTTCACCACAAAAACGGAACCCTGAACCGGCCCGCAGCAGGAATGCAAGATCAGGCATGTTATCCTTCAATGGGCTGCATTCTTGCGCTGCGGATTAGGTCTTATCTAACATGGTATAAATCAGCTAGCTCACCGCTACGAAAACACTGCTCTCTAAAGATGAAATGCCATTTTTTACCCCTTCAGGGCTGTAAGAACACATCCGAGGGTCTATCCAACTCATCTGTACTGCCCTCACTAGCTGCTTCTAAAAGGGAGAATTCTTTCCACGTAAGAGAAAGAGAGCTCGTCATTAGCCATTAGGGATGCTCTTACAGTCTCTTAGTCTCCCATAATGCTCGGATGTATACACTTCAATGTATAAAGTTTCTTATTATCAACGTACACAAAGCTCTCTCTGTCCCCAATCAGACAGAGCGACATTTAATTCATGTAAGAGAGATTAGAAGGCAGGGGGAGAGGGGGGAGAGAGAGAGAGAGAGTTTTGTACCTGGCATTCTTAATCCGGCCCTGTTGGTCACTGTAAAGACAAACAGAAATATTAGAGACTAAAAGGGAATGTTTCAGACAGAATTACCTTCGAGGTTTGAGGTTAAACTTTATGGAACAGGAGGTATTTTAAAGAGCGAGGAAGGGAAAGGGAGGCTAACCTCCCAGGTTCTATAACCAACCTCATTTGCTGGTTTACACAGCAACAAAGCTTATGCAACAAGGGTAATGCTCTGGGGTTATATCTGACTGTTCAATCTGATGACTGATGTAATACAAATATGACGTCGTTTAGATTAGACCTCTTCACACTCTCTCACACACACAGTTATGTAAAAGTGTAACAATGAGGAGAATTTCCACCCCACCCACAAACATGTACTTCTTGATTTTCCTGATCTGACCACATTAAAAGAAGAATTACATTTACAGAATTGATAATTCCAGTTCCTCTTTTTAGCTCAACTTTAAGTCTTGGTTCATCCAAATTTAATTTACCTCTAGACAGAATAAAAACAGGTCCAGTGGTTGACAGTGAGGTCTATTAATTAATCAGGCTACACCCACACTGCTACCTTTTTGTTTTAAAATGGAGGAGTTTTAAATCAAAAGCGATCTCCGTCCACACCAGCATTTTAGCTGCAGAATGGATATTTTCGCTATATTACAATATATATGTATAATATATTGTTTGCATGGACCGACAAAGACTGACCAGGAAAGAGATTTTCTAGAAAGAGATGCTGCTGTCAAAAAGTTTAAATGCCATTTTCCAATCCTGTGAGCACCACAAACAAAATAACCTTCACTGTATTGGTGTGCTGTCAGACATCTCAAGAGATGGACATTGGAAAAATAAAACCAAAACTATTTGCTTTGATAGATATCAGATGTATGTGAGAAATATGTGGTGAACCAACACTTTAAACAGGGAAATAAAAAGGGAAAACTGGATCATGTCAGCAGCAGGAAACAAGATCCGACTACAGTAAATACAACAATGCTGAAGATTAAAGAGGCTCGGTGGTAATGATGCCTGCTTACCTTCCTAGTTTATCTTTGTCTGGGTCCATGTCACTGAGGAGGAAAAGACCGGAGATATTCATTTCAACAGGAACATCAGAGAACATTCAAATAACTGCAACACTTCAGACTGCTTTTATGCACAAGGGTTGACTGGGTTCAGGAGATTTATTTCTGTTCAATATTTCATGCTGCAAAATCAATTGCGGGTCATTGACATTTCAGATTTTGATAAATTAAAAGTTGTGCTAAATCCATTAACATCGAGTCATGTTTGAACTTACTCAAATGAGAAGCCATCAATTCTGCAAAGAAACACAAATTAATTAAATTAGTTTCTGTCACCTAGGTATTGATGAATGTTCATTTCTAATGTGTCGTGTGTAAAAAGCAACACTGACTCTGTTTAAATAGTACACACATTCTTATTGGGACTGTGACTGTCAAAACTATTACAGGAGTCATTAACAGATTGTAAACTTTGGTTCTCTACAATCAGCCGTGAGGTTAATGAGGCCAGAAATGCTGCGTAGTCTGCCTTCCTTTTAATTTCTGTTGTTTTCTTTCTCTTTCCTCGCTGCATTCCGTGTCCCCTACTTTCTTTCTTTGTCATTTGCTTGTTGCCCTTTTCTTCTTCACTTTCCTTTCTTGGTTTTCATCCTCATTCACATGTCAATATTTCTTCCCCTCCTTCCTTATTTTTTTTCTCTCTATAGAGAGCCTACATTCCTCCTCTTCCAGTGGACCACCATGGGACCTTACTTTGGAAAAAATATGTACGGTAATCAAAGGCAAGAGACAACTAATTTTTTGATACTGATCTCTGACTCACACATACGATGATAGTCAATTTAATGTGATGTGAACACTTAAACAACACAATGTAACTCCAAGTCAATCACACTCCTGTGAAACTGTCCACTTAGAAAGCAACACTGACTGACAGTCAGTTTCACATGCTGTTGTGCAAATGGAATAGACAACAGGTGGAAATTATAGGCAATTAGCAAGACACCCCCAATAAAGGAGTGGTTCTGCAGGTGGTGACCACAGACCCCTTCTCAGTTCCTATGCTTCCTGGCTGATGTTTTGGTCACTTTTGAATGCTGGCGGTGCTTTCACTCTAGTGGTAGCATGAGACGGAGTCTACAACCCACACAAGTGGCTCAGGTAGTGCAGCTCATCCAGGATGGCACATCAATGCGAGCTGTGGCCAGAAGGTTTGCTGTGTCTGTCAGCGTAGTGTCCAGAGCATGGAGGCGCTACCAGGAGACAGGCCAGTACATCAGGAGACGTGGAGGAGGCCGTAGGAGGGCAACAACCCAGCAGCAGGACCGCTACCTCCGCCTTTGTGCAAGGAGGAGCAGGAGGAGCACTGCCAGAGCCCTGCAAAATGACCTCCAGCAGGCCACAAATGTGCATGTGTCTGCTCAAACGGTCAGAAACAGACTCCATGAGGGTGGTACGAGGGCCCGACGTCCACAGGTGGGGGTTGTGCTTACAGCCCAACACCATGCAGGACGTTTGGCAAATTCGCCACTGGCGCCCTGTGCTCTTTACAGATGAAAGCAGGTTCACACTGAGCACATGTGACAGACGTGACAGAGTCTGGAGACGCTGTGGAGAACGTTCTGCTGCCTGCAACATCCTCCAGCATGACCGGTTTGGCGGTGGGTCAGTAATGGTGAGGGGTGGCATTTCTTTTGGGGGCCGCACAGCCCTCCACATGTCCCCAGACCTGAATCCAATTGAGCACATCTGGGACATCATGTCTCGCTCCATCTACCAACGCCACGTTGCACCACAGACTGTCCAGGTCTGGGAGGAGATCCCTCAGGAGACCATCCGCCACCTCATCAGGAGCATGCCCAGGTGTTGTAGGGAGGCCACACACACACTACTGAGCCTCATTTTGACTTGTTTTAAGGACATTACATCAAAGTTGGATCGGCCTGTAGTGTGGTTTTCCACTTTGATTTTGAGTGTGACTCCAAATCCAGACCTCCATGGGTTGATAGATTTGATTTCCATTGATAATTTATGTGTGATTTTGTTGTCAGCACATTCAACTATGTAAAGAAAGGAGTATTTAATGAGATTATTTCATTCATTCAGATCTAGGATGTGTTATTTTAGTGTTCCCTTTATTTTTTTGAGCAGCGTATTTCTGCGTGGAACATAGCTAAGCTATCTAACAAGCAGCAACCAAGCAATGAACGTTAGCTAGCATTACCGCGTTAACATATTGGTGACGTTTATTGTGCGAGACGAGAGCTGTAGTTCACTGAACGGTTTTCACACAAAACTAAATGTACCTTTACTGTTTTATGACAAACGTAAACTTTCTTGAAGGACAAAATTATCTTTTAAATTGACGATCATATGTGTACAGGGCACAGTTCAAACAGGATCAAAAAACAAGTTGTCTCCCGCCATTAACTACCTTACATAATTCTTCCAAAATAAGGTCCCATGAGCTGGAAGTGAGTGACTTAGGCACTCTATTTTTGTCTTCCCTTCTATCGCTCCTTCCTTCCTGGTGTGCTTACTGGTAGTCGGTGGTGCTGCCCTTCCTCTTGCGGGTGTAGTCCATGCCAGGCGTGCTGATGGAGCTGGAGATGAGGTCGGTAGAGCCGGGGGACATGAAGTCAGTCATTGTAGACGAGATGTCCATCCTTTGGTCTGCCATCAGGTCATCTGCAGAGCAAAGACCAAAACCTCTCTTATCCTTACTATCTTAACTGTTCCCAAATGACTGGTCTGAATACAGTGGGAAAGAAATGGGTGGGGTACAGGTGTTCAGTAATAACTTACCATGGGCAGGTAGAAAACACCGTTTCTTTACATGGCCACAAAACGTTAGGTTTGCAGGCTTCTATGGCAACAGGTAAAGGAGACTCAAAAAGGACTGTCTCTCTAAATAAGTCAGCTAGACCCGATAGCACTCCGGTATTAATCATGAGGGTGCAAGTTCAAATATGTAAATAAACTGCCAACTAATCACCAAGTGTTTAAAGGCACAATATTATTTAGTCACACTCACCACAGATGTTCATCACAGCCTCTGTGTTAAAATCATCTCCTTCCATCCACTCTCGAGCCCTCAACTGTGAACACACAAAAACACCACGTTTTACAATTAACTGTCAGTCCCAGCGGGACGGGAGTCATTCTGAAACTGTGCAAAGAGTTTTGTTTTTTTTAAACACTGAAAGAAAACACAGACACACAGTTACAGTTGCCTGGACAACATGCAGCAAACATCATGCCATCTAGGTCAAATGTGGAGGCAGAATAAACAGGAAGCCACTATTGTTTCAGTTACTGCACGTATAGAAGTACAGTATGCCAGATATTATTTTCCAAAGAGATTTAGGCCATAGCATATCAGCTACATAAAAAACTTCAATCTAAATCAGTGTCAACATTTCAATTCATGTGGTATTTTCTCCACTGAACTTTATGAGAGAATGACAAGTAGGGCTGAGCATTAATATCTTAATTGTTGTTTTAACGATGCGTGAGCAGACATTATCAAGCAGGCTACGTCACTTACTTTGTCCGCGCAGTCACTGCGTCATGCAGGCAGCACACGTGTACTAAAGTTAAACAAGCCGAAAAATTCATGACTGAAGTTAAGCATGAGTGAACAAACAGCGCCAGCAGATAAAACACTGACACCGCCAGCCTCGCAATCTATGTCTTTAGATTGAATCGCTAGGCGTGGATCAACCTCACTCGCACGGAGGTGGTCTAGCTTTTGAAAAGACGGATGTTGCTCAAAAGATGACAATCTGCAAACTATGTTGAAAATCATGTTTTTACTTGAATGCTTCTGTTTCCATTAATGTCATTAGTAAGGAACAATTAATATCCTATTATCAAGAGTGAGCTAGTACAATATTAGACCGTACTAAACACATTTTTGAAGGATGCCAAATAACGTCTAATTATTGTTATTGACAAAAAAAATTCAGTTAATATCGCACACACCTAATGACACTGTGATCTTACTTAATGAAACCTTAAACCCAAAATGTACCTTTACCAAGATATCTAGTTTAAACACTGAATAACTTGACACCAGGCTGAAAAGTGGTGTTTCGCTGCCCTCTCTGGTTGAACATTTTAAGACGGTTTCATCTCTGACCAAGGCGTGTGCTCTGTTGTGCCTGTAACCAAACCCAAAAGTGATGTCAGTGTACTGACACACCCTGGAGAACACTTTACATCACTGGGCCAAGATGAGAAATCAGCAAAAATAAGAATTTTAGGAGGTATAAACAAAATTATTTAGTCCTTAACCTGTGCATGCATATAACTAAACTGGTGTATTAAAGCAATACATAACACGTTTGTTGTTTAGTAAAAGTAATCAGGACACAAAATATTTGCTTAAATTCCAGCAGACCTTTCCCTAGCACCAACATACTGCTGATTAAACTAATATGCAGAGTCAGTTGCCTCGTAGATCAGTCCCCAGTGTTGGTAAAAACTAGCCAGCAGCAAGGATTACCAATGGACTTTCATGGCTCGTCAGACTCAGATATATGACCGTATAATGGAAATGTACTACCAAAGTCCCTAGAGGCCATTATTGTGCAAACTTGTTAACGCTGCAAATACAACTAGCTGCCACCATGTTGTTTCCTTCTCAATCTTCTGTCCAGTTATGAGCAAAAAACTGCACAGCAGTTTAAGTGAATTTTTTTTTTTTAAAGTACAAAAGTTTTAAAAACATCTACAACGACAGTCTAGCTTCTGATATCAGTTACTCAGAATCAACAGATCGGATTGCAATGGTGCCAGAGGACATTATTCGTCTTCAGGAAGGCTAGGTCTCATTATTTGAACTTGGATGAGTAAGTACCAGAAATCTCTGTATTTTCTGTTAATGTATTCAACTCTCTGGCAGTTCTCATATGACTCAGACTGATGCATAAGATCAGTGGGCAGCCTTCCTTGGTTCAGCTGTCTGAAATCTGAGTAGGAATTGGGAACAGCCTGCACATGGAGAACAGAGCAGCTTTAGTTACCTGGATAGGAAACTGGAACAGGTCTCCTGGACGGGCCTGGTATAGTCTGGATCAGTCAGGTCTGCTCTGTTCTGATCTGGTCTCAGTCTGGTTTGATTCAGCCTGACCTAGTTTCATCCAGTTTGATGTGGTCAGTCTGGCCCGATATGATCTGATCCTTAAGCAGCCGGTGCAAGCCCTCTAGCCCTGGAAAGAGACAAAGAGAAAAGTCTGTTAAAGTCAAGCGCAAATCTAATCTTTCACACAAATGAAAAATAAAATCCATCACAAAATATGTATGCAACATCACAAAACTTGATTCAAAGCTAAATATGGAACACAAAAAACAAGAGAACTCCTTGTGTTCACTACTGCCGACCTGAAAAATGTCCTAAGTGAATCTGGGCTAATTGGATCATTTCCTGAATCTCCATTAATGTACAGATGAAAGCTAAAAGCAGAGGTTAAGTACCCCCGATTTTGGAAGTGTGTGAATGTGTTTTATAACCTCACAACCTGAAGTAGCGCTAAACGATTTAGGGAAAAAACCTAATTGCGATTTTTCTGACAGATATTGCGATTAGGATTCGATTTGCTTTTTAAATAAAAGTTTAATTAAAGTTCAATATTCACTGCCAGTCTCTTTTTTTTACGGAAGCCGCATCAAGACAAAGAATATGGGTGAAAGAATGGATTAGCACACGCTGTAGCAGGGATTGTCTGTGCTACAGAGAGAGCCGGAGGGCAGTGTTTTGCGGTGAAAAGTAGCTGCCTCTGCTCTCATTGGCTGGACGTGGATGTCGAGTCGGCCGACTCCTCCAGATATTTGGCATGCTAGATATCTGGCAGACGTCTGCAATGTGTCAGAAATGTGTCAGGGAGCCGTTTTCATGCGTCGTCGTGTAGTTCACACATAAGAATTGGCAGCCTGACGGTCGCCGAGCTGGGTGAAAAATGTTCAAGTAACACAAAGTTTAACAAACTATTTATTATATACTGTACATATTTGAAGACCCTTATATCTGTACACTCGGTATTGGCCTTAAAATATTGTCAAAGCCTTGTAAAATATTGAATCAGATGTTTTGACACATTGAAAACAGCTTTTAAAACACTGATCACAAAAAACTTTACTGTGATTGGTGCTTGTGTAGTTTTTGAACCAGGGATGGATTCACAATACACCAGCAGCACCCACACAACCCACACCTAATGTAAACAAGACTACTGAACAGTATAACTAGTAAAACAGAACAAGGGGTACGTGTTGTTCTCAGGAGGCTAGAAGGAGCACATATTGGCACACCTGTGCAGTGGATATATGCATCTTTCCACTGCAGAGGCTCCTTTACACAACATGGAGAAACTAGTTTAAGTAAGTGTATTGGTATTTATATTGTTATAATGACATTAGATAAAAAGTTACATTGTATACTGTTAGTGTGTTAATAATTATATAATTTTACTAAATGCATTGTCATTTTACGTAGTAGTATACTATATGGCTCACCACTAGTCTAACATTAATACCAGTTGGACAAAACAGCAGCTTCATTTTCATTCATTAAATTTGTGCAAGAAGAATGGCCTACATTGGTCTCTTAATTTGTTAATGCTACTATCTTGTCAATAATCAGAACCATTCATGCAGGAGGAGTTCAACATTTAAAAAGTTTACTATAGCACACCAAATAATTTTTATGTCCTGCCCAATCCAGTCTGTGATTTGTCAGTTGACAAAAAGAGCACATCGATTTTATGAAAAGTTGAACATGTTTCAACCATAAGACTGGTTTCAACAAAAAATCACCTGATATGGCTGAATATCCAGCTAGCCAAACCCACAACCTCCTTATCTTCTCCCTACTGTCTTCTGTCTCCCCTCTCCAGCTGCTGACATCTCTGTCTTTGTTTTGAACAAGTTGCTCAAGCGGCCACCGAGCAACCCGCCCACCGGGATTTGTCCCGGTGTTCCGGTAACTAGCTGGCTTTTTTTCCCTGTCAGAGTTTCAACAAATGATTGAAACCAGCTTCGCATTGCTTCCTGCCCGCTACACAGGGTGGGAGTGTTTTGAACAATTAACGTCGCGGTGCACAGCGGTCGGCGAGGGAATTATGGTAGGTTGTAGTTACTAGCATTGTGCACATCCACATTGTGCTAGTAAATCATATTTCCGGTTTGCACGTAACTATTTTTAGGGGCATAAATGGTCGCACTGTTGAGCCCTGGGGCGACAACGGAATTAAGTTGTAGCTGCACGAGTGTTTAAAAAGGGACCTACTACACTTTCTTCCACATTCTCTGGCATTTCAATAATGTTACAATGTCAGATGTTCATACATGGCCAAAGCCTCAAATAATGAGGTAAAAGTATTTAAAAGAAATCCCTGTGAGCCAAAACCTCAGATATCCCCTGTTCTGAATGATCTGTTTTAAACTGTTTTTTCTAAGGACTCGGTATGATGTCATTCCCAGCCAGATTTCCATATGGTCATTTGCTCCAGGCAGAGAATGCTGACCACGCCCACAAAGGAACATGCAGCCCCATCCCTGCAGACACCTGGTAAACACATAAGACAACAGCCAAACAGAAGACAGTGGGGTTTGGAGGGGGGGTCCCAAAGAGACAGGAGCACCTACAGCTTGTTTCAGACAGATACTGAAATTATTACCTGTATAAAGTGCCAGTATAAGAGAGAAAATTCTTCTTTTGAACTTTGAATCATGCAAAGCTGCCATAGAGGAGTCGCATAGCTACAATAAAGGGCTGGAAATGCAGTATAATAGGTCTCCTTTAAAACGGGACAGATGCAATACTTAACATACATTTTAATTGCCGTCTTCACGATTAGCTAATCGCGTTCTTTCAAAACGCAATTTCGATTTGAAAATGATTAATAGTTCAGCCCTAACCTGAAGTCGCTCCAACTCAGCCTAAACTTTTTTCCTTATTCGCTTTTTAATTTTTGAAGATTGCTGAGAAGACTAGAAGCCCATAATTGCCTCAGACAGCACTTCAGATGATTCTGACAACAGTGTCGGCCATAATACGGCCATATTACGGCTGTCAAGCTTTCCATTTTCGCATTCCATTTTCTATACTGTAGCTGTGTGTGTTTGATTTTATTACTGTATTATTGTGTTATTGTATTATTATATAAGTAAGCACATCGTGAGAATTGTACAACCCAGAGTCAAATCCCTCGTATGTGTACACATACCTGGCAATACCTGGAAGGAGCAGCACTGTTCTGCAGTGTAGAGCCAGTTAGCGTTAGTGTTATGTATGAAAAGGAAAAATGTAACAATCGGTTATTCCCTGTTTGCAAAGATAGAAGAGGAAAGTAAGGCGGACAGTTAGGATGAAAGACTAACTGATGTGTTTGCTTGGGTTCTGATAATTCTGTACCTTTTTCATGCCACTGGTGTGAATTTTACTGTCCTAAGCCATTTGTTTATTTATTGTGAAAATGTGTGGTTGTATCTAAAGTATTCTTGACTGTCTGCAGATGAAAATCTAGTAGCAGCAGCAATAGTATTAGTACACAGTGTGCAGCCATAGTTATCAGGTGCATGCATCTGTTTTCTAGTCAGACTAATTAGAGGCTAACTAATAAATATATAAGTACACAGTCTTGCATTCTTAATTATGTAAGACAACACAATAAAAACTAGTCAGAAGCTGTTACTGATTCCCCTCAGCGTCCTGAAAAAATACTTTGGTGGGCCACCTAAATGTTTAATATGCAGCCCCAACAAAAAGCAAAGCTGAAGAAGCACTGCTGTGGTAGCGGGAGGCAGAGTACTCGGTCAGGACAGGGTCAGTGAGCTCTTTTACTGGGACAAAGTTTTGGGCTAGAGGGGAAAAAACCACTATGTCATGATTGAACACTGAAAGGAACTGGTGCTAGAGTGGAAAGTGGGTCAGCCAGTCTCTATGGTCTCAGAACCAGCCAGCCTCAATTTCCATCCACCACCTACTTCATCAGTGAGTCAGCAAGCCATTCAATAGTTTCCCTGTTCTACACTCTGCACCCACTCACACAGCCATTAAGCAGGCAGCAAGCCTGTTCATGAACCAGGGAAACATTCAGGCAGCACGTCAGCCATTCAAGCTCCCAAATCACAAGCACTTCCACGCTGACCAGTGATGGAAATGAAAGGTGGGAAAAGATTTTTACTGATATAAGTGTCCATACCAATGAATACTCTCAGAGACTATTCTGACATTTTGAGAATAATGGAGCGATTTTGTGAAATCAAAGAACTGCTCCTTGTTTTTTCATTGGCAGAAAATATTAACAAACATAGTCCCATATGGATAAGGCTCCAAGCTTGTGCGACTATCCGACTGACTTCCTAGAGGTTTTGAGAACATTTTCAACGTCTCTTCATTGGACTAGGATGTGAGCCTTGATCATGAAAACAGAATAAAAGACAAAAATATATATAATTATTATTTGAAATGTATTTAAATTGTGTGCAACGGTGATATAAAGGGCTGTGCAGCAGAGCTATTCACCAATGTTGGCAGAGTGTACACAAATTTAGTCATGCTAGTTTGGCTCACTCTGCCTTGTGTGCTTAAAATAGCTATAAGCTTTCTGAAATGATTCACATTTTTGTGGTGCAGCCACGCTATCTGCACACTGAAGCTGACCACATCAAACTGAAGGCTGCCAACATCACTGGTGTGGTGTAGCTTTATTATCAATATATCAAAACAATAAGGAGAAGATAAAAATGTGAGTTTCCTGTATTACTCTGGAAACCCTCTGATGACCGCTCTTCCTGCCTTTATGTACTTAGCTGTTTGAGCAGTATTTAGTTTAAAAGGGTGTAAAAATTAAAATCCAAATGTTGTGATGATATCAAAGTCAGAAAACCAGTAACTATGTTAATTATACTTCAAATCAAATAATCAAAGCATTAATCAACTCACTGATTCAGCATGAAATTAGACATTTTTGCTGAGCAGCCTCTGTCAGATTCAGCCTCGTTAAAGCTGCATGTTTCAATACTTATATTAACAATGGATCAAATAATGGGAAAGGTGTCGCTCATAGTACTTAACCCGCAGAGAATTATCACCAGACTCTGTGGTTCCCCTCAGATCCACAGTGCGTTTTAGCGTCTTCCAGCTCATGGTTTGGTTTTACAGCATGCAATTTTACTGTACCGCTCTCATCAGCCCATTTCCAGCATC